TGTGCAATTCTTTGTTGAATTCATTTCCATTGACACAGTAATATTTATATCTGCCTTGCTCTGTAAAATATTAATAGCAAAGACTCGCATGATAAATCAGCAGTTCTTACAGCAGTGCACCTGACTCACTTGGGTTGCCAGCCGAGAGATAGCTGGATGGTCACTCCTCCATCACTCCTCTGGGCAGAGTGAGTGGGGAAAATGCCACTCAGGGTTCTTCCAGGCGCCCGAGGAAATTGCCTTAGTAATGTAATAGACTCACCTTCATCAAGCAAAAAGAAAACTTGTGATATTTGTTTGGATCATTCAGATTTTAGTTTCATATTCAAAATTCAACTTCAGCAAAACACGGGATGGCTTTCACTGTCCATTTCTGAAGCTTGCACCTTGATAGGGCTTTTATTCTTATATAATCATAAATCTCCTTAACATTTAGCTTTATTTTTATAGAGCTAATCTAAGTTGTAGCAGTTCTTCTATGTCTCTTTATAGACAGAACTGACAATGGAAAAATATCTCAGAGAGCTCACGTCAAAGAAAAATCTAATTGAAATAATGTTTTTTCATACAGATCATTAGAGAAGTGAAACAATGTTGTCTTCTTATTAAAGCAATTACCTCACCTCATTGTTGAAAACATGAAACTGCTGAGAGCTACAGCCCTTCATTTTTATAAAATATTAGTTGCTGAAGAGCTAGTCTCCAGCAGGCATTCCACGTTATTTTTTCCTATTCATTCAAATCCAAAATATTGCTCATCTAAACTTTGTTAATCACTGTTACAGTAAGTCTGAGACTGCAAGACGCCCAGTAATTCATAACCGTCTCAGCACTTGTTCACCTTCAGGTCAGTTATTCAGTTCCTGAGCTGGCGATCAAGAAAGCATCGTCTGCCGTAACGGCATGGAGTTAATAAAAAAGGAAAGAGGAGGTTTTATTTCAAGGATCGGGTCTGAAAAGCCACCAGATTTCTAGCACTGCTTCTCCTTCGCCACCCACCATCCCATTTTAGTAGGGAAATAGGGTACTGGGGAGGTTCAGGGGAAGGTTTCCCACCCTGAAAAGCAGCCCTGAGAAGCATAGCAATAGCACAAAATGCTCTGGGAGCAGAGGAGGGGCCCTGAAATCTGCTCTTGGAGTAGCTACAGAAGGTGCCACGTAGGAAGTGCCCTCGGATGAAATCCTGAGAAGCCAGGAGGAGTTTCTGAGCAAAGTGGGGGGGGGGATTTCTAGTGGAGGAAGGGATGTGCACCAAGTCAGTGAGAAATTAAAGACCATGGGGTTTTCGGGGAGCTGCAGCGTACCGGTGGGGACGGGCATGCATCGGGAAGGAGGCTGGCTGACAACGGTGGCACACTTGCCGCCAGGAGCCAGGTGATGAAGGGCGCCCTGGGCCCCGGTGGGGAGAGTGCTTGGCGTCCTCACGCCCCGGAGAGATACTGAACATCTGAGCAGGAGAAAGTCCCTCACGGGGTGCAGTTGGGTGGAGAAAGGATTAGAGGGAGGGAGGCAAGACTGGAGGCAAGGACACCAGTTAGGAGCAGGAGAATCTGGAAAGTTAGATAAGTGGGTGCGACGGGAGGGCCGGGGAGGGGGCGCAGGAGGGGGTGACTGAGTCTCCTGGCCCGGGGGACTGGTTGGACTCTCTGACGAGGGACTGTGGGAGGAACGGAGGAGATGGGAGGCGGGAGTGATGGTAAGTTCATTTATTATGAACGTGTCCAGTAGTATGAGATGAATGGCTCTGAAGGACGGAGGGCGACCCCTGAGGAAGGCCGGGGATCAGTGTGAAAGTGGCGATGGAAGCATTTCTGACTTTCTTTCCAGCCCTTAGCGCCTATGGTTCAGTGAGTAATGTCATCTCTTGACAGATGCCCGTTTCGGGACGTCTGAAATCAGCAGTGGCCCGTGTTGAGTGATCTGATGACACGTGCAGTTACTCCTCTCACGGTTGTGATCAGTAAATAAATTGTAATCCCAGCCTGATGCTGACATTGAGCATCTATCAGAACAAATTTCTGGAGTGTCCTCTTTGTGTTCGATGCTACACGGAGATGCCTTGTTTTTAGATGTGAAATAACTTCATGGAGTTTTCTGTCCCAGTTGGGGAGTGAGCTGTAGAGGGGCAGGGAAAGAAAGGCTGGGAGGTGAAGGTTTCTCACTAAGGTCAGGACGTGCAGGGTGGTAGGTTTTAGACTTGATAAGTTTGACGTTACAGCAGGAGATCAAATGGGTGTATGACTGAGAATGTGAGGGATCCTGGATGGAGAGGGAGAATTAGGATCCATTCCCAGGACCATGGTCGCTGCAGTTGGGAGGGTGTGGAAAGGGTGGGGAGGGGACTACTGAGGCCTGAGTCCTGGCAGGCGCCACCTTCATTCAGGCTGTGACAGGTGAGGGCCAGCCATCGTGGTTACAGGTAGAATGAGAATGGTGGTCTGTCTGTCTGGTTATGAAAAGAAGGGGATGTTGACCAGACGTAAGAGGTCAGGGGTGATGGTGGCTGGCAGATGATCATGGGATTTAATGATGGGTCTGTCACTGGTGGTTTTTCTCAGAGGGGTTTTGGGAGAGAGTTAGGAAGTCGGTCATTAAGGAGCAGGAGGAATAGTAATAGTGACAATAATAGTAGCTGACATGTATTGGATGTTACATGCCAGGGAAGGTTCTAAAAGTAACATTTTTGTGTGTGTTGTTTTGTTTAATCATCACAGTAATTCTAGAAACACACCCATATTATTATTAATATTAGTATTGTTGCTATTATTTCCTTTTACTGATAAGATATATTAGGCAACAAAGGCGATGAATTGTAGACAGTTTTTTTGAGACGTTTTGCAGTGTTAGAAAGAATGGAAAAGCACAGTTGGTGATGTTATGGTTAAGCAGAAGCTTTTCCAAGAGCTTTTGTAACATTTTTGAAGGCAGTGAGGGGAGGAGCCTGGTGGGGAAGGGGAATAGTCGAAGATGCTGGAGAAGGCTGAGCAGGTTGGGCTCCAGGGAGAAGAGACGGGTGGGGCTGGGAGAAAGGGCCCAGCCTTGAAAGTCTTCTTTGAGTTGGGAAAATTAAGAAAACTCTGATGCAGTCACTCATATTTTGCAATTCCGAAAGTTGGACAGTCTCTGAACTTGATGGTGCCAGTGTTGGAATGTTAGGAAGGGAAGTGAGACAGTTGCCGAAAATCGTCACATGTTTCTTCTAGAAAACTTCTTGGACTCAGCTTTAAAAAAAATTAAAACAAGAAAAGCTCAATTTTATAACATTAACTCTCCAAACCCAGTTCTGTCAAGTGCAGGTTAACTTGCCTTTTTCTTTATCATTTGTTTTCTTGTTTCATTATTTGAACATAAAAGCACTACTTCTTCAGATGTATTTGGGTACGGTAATTGCATTTTCTTTAATTATTTCTCCCCAAACCTGTATTTTGGGACTGTGAGGTCCAGAGGTGGACAGGACAGGGGGCCTGGCCAGTGGAGGTGTGCAGCAAACGGGGGGACCGGCATGGGAATGAAGGATCGGCTAGGAAAACGGGTAGCTAAGGTAAAGAACCGTTCAGAAAGGCCCTGCAACTGAGACATCGCTTTGATGAGAACATTTTTATTAATGGGGGAGGGGGCCAGGACCACTGTCTATCATCGGGTTTATAGAGACCAAAAGGAAATTGCAATTTGGCCGCTCGCTGGCTAGTCAGTTGCAGCAGCACTGACGTTGAGGACCTTGAGGGACTGTACTTGGTGACAGGAAATCTTTCCTCCTGAATAACTGGCACTGGCTGGATACACCGCTGAGCTCCTCAGATGCTCCCCCCCCCCCC